ATAATTCCAAGCAACACAAAATAATGTAATTCAGGAGTAATTTTGTAAGGTCAAAAGGTAATGTGTCCATTGCTATCTTTTACAAATCAAACAGAAAATTATAGCTAGGGAAAATGAGGTTTTGTGTGATCATGAGATGATTGATTAATAATCAGTCAGCAAATTTTCTTATCTGAAAGGAAAGGGTGACTTCTTTCTATGTGTTCCTTGAGGCCTGAAAAAGAATTTGTGCTCACTAATGTTCTAAGGGAAGAGAGCTTTTTGTAAGTATCACAGTTATTTCACTTTAAATCTGTTGCTTGATTTTCTATCTGGAGATTTTTGTGTATAAATCAGTTTATTAAAACTTGAATTTAGCAAGACCTGAAATAAGCATAATCTTGGATTTGGCACTGCCATCCTTTGAGGTAAAGAGGCTACAAACAGAAATGGATTTATATAATCTGTAGCTAGAGGAGAAGGGAAGGGGATGAGAAAGAGCATTTATTAAGCACTTACTATGTGCCAGAAACTTTGCTAAGCACTTTACAAACGTTTGATCCTCACAACAACCCTTAGAGGTAGGTGCTATCATGATCCCCATTTTACAGATGAGGAAACAGAGGCAGACAGGTTAAGTGACTTGTCCAGGGTCACACAGCTAGCAAGTATGTCAATGAAAATCTGCCTTTTCTCCCTTCCCTTCCACCTTCACCAGGCTCCTCTGCCCCCATTGAGAAAGAAACCATAACCCTTGTTACAAACATGCATAGTCAAGCAAAGAAAATGGCATATGTATCTTTTGAAGAGATATACAGTCAATTCTTGCTTTACCTAAGTGAACTGTTTCTCAAACCTCTACATAAAGCGATTTTTAGATTTTCATGTAATGCAAATTTGCCTTCTGATATAAGAAAGCAAGGGAGATAGGCAGGAAGGGAGTGGGATGCAGTTCAAAGACACGTGGGGACCAGGACCAGAGAAGTGAGAGCAGGAGGTGGAACACGGGGGGCCAGGGCCTGCCAGAACTGAGAGGAGGAACACGTGCACATGGCAGGGGGGGAGCAAAGCAGGTGGAACGGGGGAAAGGTCTCCTCTCGGCACCAGGGTCTTGAACTGAGCCCCAGACCTGGGCATCAGGCAGCTGGGGCGGAGGTCTCTCCACCTGTTTATTCACGTAGTAGGATTTTGTGTGTATGTGTTGGGGAGAGGCCATGGAACCCCGAGGGACAGGAGAGAGAGAGGGAGAGCACAGTACTTACTGTAAAGTTAATGTAGGTGTTTTTTCAGCATGTGGATTTCTTTCAGAATTCTCTACATAAAGTCATTTTGTGCAATGCAAATTTATATTAAAGCAAGATCTATCTGTACTTGAAAGAGAAAAAGTGGATATTATTTTTTAACCTAAATCTTTTCTGAGTGTTTGGGTTGGGGTCTGAAGGTTTGGGCTCCCATCCTAGCTCTGCTCTTTATTCTCTCTACAACTTTGGATAAAGTGCTTAGGCTCCCTGGGCCTCATTTTCCTTACCTCTCAAATCAAGGGATTGGGTAGATATGGGGCTTTTAACCTGGGCTCCATGGAGAAATTTCAGGGGGACCATTAATTTTTAAAAATATTTTAATAAGTATTTCAGTATAATTGGTGTCCTTTATAATTGTATGTATTTTATTTTCTGCATCTAAAAATATGATTCTGAGAAAGGGTCAATCCCTAGGCTTCACAGGACACCGCCCAAGGAATCTTGGACCCCTAAAATGTGAAAACTCCTCAACTTTGACCAGATCCTCCTTCCTTTTTCAGACTCTGTAAAGCCCTTAGGCCTCATTCAGAGTTCTACTTGCCTCCTGCCCCTGCTGCTGTTAAGTGGTTAGCAGCATAACTTTGCCTCTTTTCACACCCACACCCCTCAAAAGAGAGAGCCTCTGTTGTGTAGGCCATCTGTCTTTATCAGCTGGTCCACATCCTTATCACAATCATTGACCATCCCTAGCTCATTCTCTCTCCTTTCTCAAGGAGCTCAGTCCTTGCCTCACAGTCTTCCTCTCACTTCAACCTCTACTCTGATGTCTGAAGACTTAAATATGCACATTCTTGTCACCTCAGACTTCCCTCTAGCTTGGTTACCAGATGGCTTTTGCCTTGATTTCACCCCTCAGTACACTGCTTCCATGATGCAGACCTCTGAAATTCTTCTCTCTAGTTGTGACTTCCTGTCCCTCCCTCTCTCTGCCCTGCTTGTCCTAACCTCCAGTCCCACCACCCTCCCTTCTCTCCTTTTACAGCCTGGGCCCTGGGGTTGACCAGTTCAACCCTGCACCAAGTTACCCATGAATCCCTTGCCCCTTTGCCCTCCCACCTCTTGTGCTTTGCCACAACATCCCCAGGTTACCCGGCATTTGCCTTCTGCGTTCCACTGCCGAAAGAGACCACTACAGATTTGGGTTATCTCTTCTCAGATGGGTCCTCAATACTATGTGGTAATCACTTTATTCTTCCGTGACTGGATTTGTCTCATTCCTAAGCAACTCTTCCAAACCCTCTTTCTCTTTAATCTCCCTGTATCGCCTGCCTGCGTGTCAGCAAAAGTCCTCACCTCCTACTTTCCTGAGAAAATGACAAGTCTCTGTTGTTAGTCTTCTTGGCCTGCCAACCTCATTTTCCTCCCTCGCTCCAAGGTCTGGGGAAGGATTTTCTCTGTGCCAAGGCCAACTTCTCTTTCTGCCTTTGATCTCAGTTCCACTTGGAGCTTGCCCCTCCTATAACTTCCTCCTTTTTCCGCAATTTTCTATCTCGCCTTTACCATTGACTCCTCCCTATCTGCCTCCAATGTGCCCAAGGCTCCATCGTCCTTAAAAACCTTCACTCAATTCTACCATCCCCTCAAGCTACTGCTGTTATGTCTCTTCTTTATCTGCCAAACTCAGAGTAGTTTTTCCATATTATTTCCATGTGCTCACCCCTCATTGAGTTCTCAGTTTCTTGCAATCTCCATTCTAACCCAACTACTCTGCTGAACTACTCCAAGGATACTAGCTATCTCTTAAGTTCCAAATCTAAGGACCTTTTCTTAGTCTTCCTTCTCCACGACCTCTTTGGAGCATTTGACAGTGCTGCTCACTCCTTCCTTATGGATAGTTCCTCTTCCTTGGATTTTCATGATCCTACTCCTTACTGGCCCTCCCATGACTTTATTCCTGCTCGTTCTCTTGCTAGATCACCATCCATCTCCCCGCAATAAGCATTGCTGTCCCCTGAAGATCTCTCCTGTGTTTTGTCTTCTTTTCTCCTTCTGTGCTTTCACTCATTATTCTCATCAGCTCAGCTGTCTTTATGAAGATGATGTCCAAATCTGTATATGGCCCTCTTCGCTTTCCTGAACATCAGACCCATGTTGCTTAGTTTCTGCTAAACATCATGGACCGGATGACCCATCAGCATCTCACACTCAGCGTGTCTGCAGTAACACTCATTATCTTTCCCAGAAACCTTGGCCATCTCTACACTTCCCATTTTTGTTAAGGGCACCACCATCCTTCTAGTAATCCAGATTCATACCTCAGAGTTCACCTTGATTTTTCTCCCTCCTCACCTTCTACAGTCACTCGGTTGCCAAGGCTTCCAGATTCTACCTCCACAACACCTGTCACATCCCCACCTTTCTTCCATTCCCATAGCAAATGCCCTAATCACCTCTTAACTGAACTATTGCAACAGCTTCCTAATTGGTCTCCCTGCTTCCCACCTCTCTCCCATCCAGTCTGTTGTTCACTCTGCCACCAAAATAATCTCTGGAAGGCAGAGGGCTGACCGTTTCATTCCACTGCTCAGACATCTTCAGTGGCGCCTCTAGGAGAAAATATGCATTCTTGCCATTTAAAGCCTTTCACAATTTGGCCTCTACCTATCTTTCACTAAAATGTGAGCTTCAGGGCAAGGACTGACTTTTGCTCTTTTTTTTTTTTTTTTTAATCCTCAGCACATTGTCTGGCACATAGTAGGTGCTTAATAAATGCTTATTGACTTTTTACCTACTTTCATGCTCTCCACACTGCAGCCATTCTGGCCTCCTTTCCCCCCTCTGCCATTGCAGAGGCTCTTCCCCAGCAGTCCTGTGGAGGATGGATGTGGCCAGAAACGTCTACAAGAATGAAGTCAAATAACTTTAAAGTCTGCTACTTTATTTCATTTATCCCCTCAGTAATGGAATTATGTAGAATACTGCAAAGCTAGGTAACAAAGCATCCGTCTGATAAACACATGAGTATAACTATACCTAGTTACTTTCTCTTCCTACATGTGTTTGGTTGTGGGATTTCAAGGCCCTCTGCAATTTGCCCACACCCTGTCTTTGCAACCTTATTCCATCCTGTTCTGTTCCTGTCCTTCACTACACCAGCTGCCCCTTCCCGGCTTTTTCCTGTGCTTAAAATAGACTTCCTCTGTCCCCCATCTCCATTTGCAAAGTCTTCCCTTCCTTGAAGACAAGGCTCCAGTGCACTTTCTCTGTGAAACTTTCTCTGACTCATGCCTTCCACTGCCAAGATAAAAACTGATCTCTCCTTCCTCACATCTCAGCATTTTGCCTGAGTTTTTTCTCCACGTTTATTCCCCTCTTCCTTGTACATAGTTATTTGTGTTTCTTTCTCTTTTTTAAGTTCCTTGAAAGCAGGGACTGCCTCATGTCCATGTTTTAATCATCAGTGCCTAGCCCATAGTAGGTTTTTAATAACTGTTTTTGAGGGGATTCTAAACTTTAGAAATCAGGAGGAAATGAGGATTGATCAAAGAAGCTATTTTGCTAATGGTGTCTTAGAAACTTTCAAAATCATTGATGATTTGGTATTGTTTCTCAAGGTTGAGTTTTGAGGAGAGGAAACTGAGAAAAAAGATATACCGAGTGTTCTCATGCCTTCCTCCTATGTAGAAAAAGTTCCAAATTATTTATGAAAAAGGAGGCTCTGCTTCTTGTCACTGCCTCAGTACCCTAGAAAGTCTTCATGTGGTCTCCCTCCCTTTTCAGGTGTGGGAATTGGTGTTGTCCACGCTGGTTATGAAAGACGGCTGGCCCATCACCTGGGAGCCCACAGCACGCCCTCTATCCTAGGAATTATAAATGGGAAAATCTCATTCTTTCACAATGCGGTTGTTCGAGAGAATCTTCGACAGTTTGTGGAGAGCCTCATTCCAGGAAACTTGGTGGAGAAGGTGGGTTTCACAAGGGATTGATCCCAAAGAAGATGCAAGCTGGAGAAGCCTTTCTTTGGGGGTCTAAGTCCATTTGTTGCCTGAGCCTTTGCAGATTGAAGTTTGTGTTGGTTGTGTTGGGTTGGACAATAAACAAAGTAATTAGTTAAACTAAGTCACTTGTGTGAAGGGAAGCTAACTAAGCACAGGTGTGGAAAATGAACTAATTAATGATATTAGCTACTTTTCAAATGTAGGTTACACCAAATTGAATTGATCCTATAATGAATGATCAGATTGTGGGATCTACCATGCTGGGTTGCAAACAGTGATTGTTGAGACCGTAACTGTATGGAAGGAACAGAATTCTCTCTGCATCAGATGAAACTACTTTGACAGAACTGACCCCATTCCATTGGCTGTGCATCATTCAGCTCACATGCTGAACAGCTTACAGATTTCCCCAACTCTGCGCCTTTGATTGAACTCTTCACTCCCTGCACACAGATCGTGTTCCTCCTCATCTCTTCCTGTTCACATCCTGCCCATTTTTCAAGGTCACCCAGTTTTTGCCCTCTCTTTCATGACAGCCTTCACCTGCCAGTGATCTCTTCCTTCCACTAAACCATTTGCTCAGACCTTTCTTGTACACTTACCCACACTACTTTCTATTACCATTTTTTGTGTACTGTCCTGTCTGTCCTTGGAGAATGCAAGCTCCCAAGGACGAAAACCTTGTCTTCCTTCTCTCTCTCTCTGTCACCTCCTGGTCCAGTGACTGCTCTATAGCAGTCCCTTATTCATTATTTGTTTCATTCAATTGAGAACTTTTGACAAGTGGGAAAGTTCCCATTTTCTTTTGAAGTGTTTGTCCTTTATATTAACAGAAGAAAATATAGTAGGTAGACCCTAGTGTTTTTGTTATACTCCCTCAACACAGTTCTCAGGGAATTGGGTCATGCCTGGAAGAAAGAAGTGGAAGCAAGCATTTTTTGAAGGAATATGATGAGAAAAATGTCACTTCAAAAATGTTGATTCAGCACCTACTCTGTATATGTCAGTCCCAAGAGTTGCTGAAGGAACTATCTAGATGAGGTAGACTTCCAGTATCCGGACAGTCAGAGGAGTACAGCCTGAGGTCAGCATCACTGTGGGTTCTCAGGCTGAGGCTGCATACCCTTTTTCTGTGACATTGTTATGTGAGGGGGCTCGTGGTCCCTTCCCTAGCTGACTCCACCCTTGCCTTCACGTCACTTATAGTCCAGTTGAGGCCCATGCTCTCAGTGCGCACGCACACCCTTATCTTACTGTGCCCGTAGGTAAGGGAAGAGAAGAGATCCTGGCATGTGAACTGCTTAAAGACTGGGCAGATTTTGGAATGTGGAACCTCACTTTTGTTCAGGTTTTTTAATTGCTATGGGAGGCTTTTCTGGGCACAAGCCATTTAGACAGCAGTTTACATGATTGTATTGTATAGATTATGTGTGTGGGGATCACAGGGTATAGGAGGGTTGAAATTTTTTTTAAAATATTGTTAAAATATCACCTTTTTTAAAAAGCAAAATATTACCTTTTAAAAGAGGAACCAGATACCTCACACAAGGATTAGTTTGAAAAGACAGGATGTTTAACCTGAAGAGAAAGAAACTGGAGGGGAGGAGGTGGCAGATCTTATCTTCAGCTTCTTAAAGAACTGTCACTTGGTACCAGACTTCCTCTGCTCCACCCCAAGGGACACACCTAAGCACAGTAAGGCTGGGAGTTGGGGTTGGGGAGACATGACACTTAGTTGCAAAGAGGTACTTTTTAACTCAGCGTGAAGAAAAACTTGTAACATTGAGAAATCTTCAGAAGCCCTTCATTGGAAGCTAAATGACCACTTGTCTGGGACAGCATAGAGGGAGTGCCTTTTCAGAATTGGGCTGGACTCTGGGGCCTCTTCAGTCCATTCCAGCTTTGGGCTTCTGAGTTGGCACCAGATATTGCTCATTATAACAAACTTGTCAGATTTTTGTCAGACCATTCTGGAGGGATGTAGAGGAAGGTCTGGATGTGTGAAGCTTTGCTCTTCATTCCTATCACCCCTTTCACCAAACTCTGAAATGCTTTATTTCAGAAACATTCTTGTCACTGATCAGGTTACCTTTCCCTGTTTTTGACTTTAGGGAATTTTGTGCATATTGAATAAATGCCTTGATGGAAAAGTAATTAGAGAAAGAACCAAAGTTGGAGATCTTGTTTTTTGGTGACGTGGCCAGTAATTGCTGTGGAAGGGATTGTGATTTCAAGTAAAAAGTGATAATCAGAAGCAAATGATTTTATGAGATCCCAGCTCCTTTAAATAGCTGTAGTAGTAAAAGGAAAAGATCTGATGGCTGCATGTTCACAAATCTTTTAAGCATACTTGTGACTTTTTCTCCTTTTAAGACCATTAAAGATTAAAGATCAAAACAAACATTTAATTTTCTTTTTTTTTCTCTAATTTTAAGGTCACCGATAAAAATTACGTCCGATTTCTCTCTGGCTGGCAGCAAGAGAATAAGCCTCATGTACTTCTGTTTGACCACATGCCACTGGCACCATTGCTATACAAGGTACATTATATGCTACCATCTGGCTTAGTGGAAGGAGGAGTCTCTGTAGTGAGACTAAGCCAGGGTGTCCTTTTAGTAAGTACCAGCTGATCCCTGGGGAGTGTGAGAAGATCAGAGATCTACTATTTCCAGATCACTTTCTTTTCTTCTGATTGTCTATTTAAATGAGTTGTAGGTCCATTCAAGTTGAAAAATATGACTGTACTCAGTTGATCACCAGTATTCCTAGCTCTGTTCTAGTTTTGCTTGATTTGTGCACGGTACATACGTACATGTTGTCTTTACACAGATGCTAAGAAACTGAGCTTTAGGGCTGGCTAGGTCAAAACATCATGACCTGGGAAAGATGGGGAGAAAACTAACACAAGAATTAGCAAGGTTACAGTCTCCTCAAAGAAGCCACAGGACTAAATCTGGAGTAATAAAAAGGAATAGAAATTCTGTAGAGGTTACTTACTCCCCAGGCCAAAAGAAAGCAAGACGACTCTATGCCTTGTGGGGGAACAGGAGTGAAATTTGCCCTTGCTTCTGTATCTGGCACATTAAGGTAATGAAGACCTAGTGGGGCTTTAAATGCCATACATAAAAGGGAACGATTCCAGTTCTGATTTCAGATGTAGAACTTACTGTTCATTTCCACTTTTTCCTGTCATACCCCACCAGTTGATTGCTTTTGCCTACAAGGATTACTTGTCATTTGGATATGTATATGTCGGCTTAAGAGGGACTCAAGAGATGACCAGTCAGTACAATGTCAACATCTACACTCCTACCATGTTGGTCTTCAAGGAACATATAGACAAGCCAGCTGATGTCATACAGGTACACGTTGTTGTTGTTGTTGTTGTTGAGTTGTGGCCAACTCTTCATGACCCCATTCGGGGTTTTCTTGACAAAGATACTGGAGTGGTTTGCCATTTCCTTCTCCAGCTCATTTTACAGGTGAAGAAACTGATGGAAACAGGGTAAAGTGATTTGCCCAGGGTCACATAAGTGTCCGAGGCCAGATTTGAACTCAGGAAGATGAGTCTTCCTGATTCCAGGACCAGTGCTCTTTCCTCTATACCACCTACCTGCCTATGTATAGGTACATAGCGGTTTCTTTTTATCCAGAGACTCTTTCTAATTGTCACCTAGAGGCTCAGGTGATGTGAATATTGAAACCAGACATAGTATGTGAGAAGGAGAGAGCAGACCTCTTTGAAATGTTGCCTTCATAAGTAAATAAAGATTTAATCATAGTCTAACTTCTCAGTTACCTATATTTAATCTGGCTTAATATTTCGTCCTTAAGAAAACTTACACTACATCAGAAATTCTCCTGCTAGCTAGATCCTTGGACAGCCTGTGTCTCTTCATTCATTCCCTCTGGCTTCTTAAAGGAGATTAATCTGGGCAGTCCTATACATGATTTCTAATTCAATTACTAATTCTCAACAAATATGAGAATTGCCTTGCTTTACTTTTTGCTGGTATCGCATACCCCTTGTGCCCTATAAACTTTGAAGGGCTATATGAACATGAATTACGGTTAATGTTTATACCTAGTGATACTGAAGTGAAACTTTGAAACAGCCTTTTGTATAACCCATTTACCAGTTCATTCAAGTGTTTTGTTCAAGAGCTTGCTTCTGCTTTGCAAAAAATACAATGAGCAAAATCCTCCATCTTTATACTGTATGTGTGGTTTAGCAGGATCCAGAATCGAGAGCAAATCTAGCAAGGCCATATTCCCAAAGATCCAGTATTCATGGAGACCACAAAAACACAGATTGGTGTTCCTTAGACTTGTGACCAATACCCTCCTTGCTGCATTCATCAGTCTGGCAGGAGGACATTAGCTCTGGTGGGCCACGTGTCACTCAGAGCCCCACTGCCCTGAGCCAGTCTTTCATCCTCTCTGTCCTTGAGACCCCTTGCCTGTCAATGAACAGGGCCTGGAAGGTCTCTTCGAGCTGGTGCAGGAGAGTGGAATAAAAGCCTACTACTCGTTGGTTTGTTTCTAGGCTCGAGGTTTGAAGAAACAGACCATTGAAGACTTCGTCTCCCAAAACAAGTACCTCCTAGCAGCGAGACTTACCAGCCAGAAGATGTTTCATGAGCTGTGCCCTGTGAAGAGGTCTCATCGCCAAAGAAAGTAAGATCTGGAAGCTTTTCTTCTCCTGACCCTAACAGCTGAGGACTCAGGGAAGGGGCTGAGGAAGTCTCATACCTACTACCCCTTCACACTGTTCTTGGCATGGGGTGCTGGGGCTCCATTGCTTTCACAAGATGTGTGTGGTTTTAAAGAGTTCCGATACAGTAGAAATAACGATCAGGGGTTCAAAAGCCAGGCATACAGACAAAAACTGAAACAGTTGTGTGCACTTAACCTGAAGGCTGAGGTGGGGTCACTTCTATTGTCTCAAATTTGTGACTGATTAAACTGGAGCAGGACTGAAGATAGGGTAAGGAAGAAAGTAGTATTCTGCCAGCCATGAGCACTTAGTAAATGTTCGTCTAATTAAATTGGCTTTAATTACCCAACTAGGATTCAGTGATTTGAAGAAGATTATTAAATGTTGCATTGGCTTTTGGCTCAAAGGAATGACTCAGCTTTGGAAAAATAGAAACTCTCTGGGAAAGCAGTGGGGAGTTAATAACCTTCTTTCATCAGTATGACATTTCCTGAATTCAACCTGGATTCCTACTGCAAAACCTGCTGACTTATTTGAGTGGGAAATTCATTTATTCAGCAAATATTTATTAAGTACCTACTGTGTGCTAGGCCCTGGGGCTACAAAGACAAAAGTCAGACCATCCCTGTCCTTAAGGATCTTAGATTCTATTGAGAACTGCAGGTAAACTGATAAATCAATGCAAATATAGATACTGAAGTCTCTGGGAGGGTTTTCTGACCCTAGGAGGCTCCTATTGGTGGTAGCCCCTTCTTGGATTATGTAATTCAGGTGCTGTCTGGTTTCTTCACTGGGCATGGACTCATGGGCTCGAGACTCGCCTCCTGGAAGGTGGTTTTGCACATTGATTCCAGGACTGACCGTGTCCTGCCTTCTCTTGGTGGGGTGTAGGTACTGTGTGCTCTTGCTGATTCGGGAAGGAACAAAGTCAAATCCAGATTTTGAAGCTTTCTTGTCCTTTGCGTTGGCAAACAGCCAGGACACAGTGAGGTTCGTGCATGTCTACAGCAACCGGCAGCAGGAGTTTGCCAACACATTGCTACCCAGCAGTGAAACATTTCAGGGGAAATCTGCGGTGAGTCAAATGGGGCATTGACTAGTCAGAGGTATGCTAGGCTCCTATGGTTTAGGGCTCATATTTTAGGAAACCCTTAAGGTCTCACCTTTCATTGTCTCATCATCCTCTCTGACTACCCCAAGCCTTAGTTATAGGGGCCCTGGCCCACAAGAAACTTTTTTCATACCAATAAGGAAGAAAGGGCATTATCCCATCTCTTCATGGAGCATCATCACCACTCTTCTTGATAATTTATTTATTTATTTTTTTTGTTTTCAACATTTACTTCCACAAGATTTTGAGTTCCAAATTTTCACCCCATCTCACCCCTCCCCCCACCCCAAGATGGCATGCATTCTAAATACCCCTTCCCCTAGTCTTCTTTCCCTTGTATCTCTCTCCCCCTTCTCTTATCCCCTTCCCCTTCAATTTTCCTGTAGGGCAGGATGGATTTCTGTACCCCATTTCCTGTATTTCTTATTTCCCAGTTGCATGTGAAAACATTTTTTTTAAACATGTGTTTTTAAAACTTTGGGTTCCAAATTTTCTCCCTTCCTCCCTCCCCACCCACCCTCATTGATAAGGCTAGCAACTAAATATAGGTTATATATGTGCAGTTATGCAAAACACTTCCATAGTAGACATGCTGTGAAAAACTAACTCTATTTCCCTTAATCCTATCCCACCCCCCCCATTTATTCTATTCTTTCTTTTGACCCTGACCCTCCTCAGAAGTACTTGCTTCTGATTACCCCCTTTCCCAATCTGCCCTCCTCTCTATCATCCCCGTACTCTCTTGTCCCCATCCCCCCCCACTATTTTCCTGTAGGGTAAGACAGATTTCCATACCCAATTGAGTGTGTATGTTATTCCCTCCTTAAGTCAAATTCTATGAGAATAAGATTCACTCATTCCTTCTCATTCCTCCGTTTCCCCTCCACTGTAAGAGCCTTTTCTTTTCTGTTTTTTTTTGTGAGATAATTTACCCCATTCTACCTCTCCCTTTCTCCTTCTCCTAGTATAATCCTCTCTCACTCCTTAATTTTATTCTCCAGATATGACCCCTTCATTTTCAACTCACCCTGTGCCCTCTATCTATATATACGTACATATAATTCTTTCCCTCCAACTACCCTAATACTGACAAAGGTGTCATGAGTTACAAATATCATCTTTCCATGCAGGAATGTAAACAGTTCAACCATAATAAGTCTCTTATGGTTTTCTCTTTCCTGTTTACCTCTTCATGTTCCACTTGAGTCTTGTATTTGAAAATCAAATTTTCTATTCAGCTCTGGTCTTTTCATCAAGAATGCTTGAAAGTCCTCTATTTCACTGAATGACCATTTTTTCCCCTGAAGGATTATACTCAGTTTTACTGGGTAGGTGATTCTTGGTTGTAATCCTATCTCCTTTGCCCTTCAGAATATTATATTCCATGCCCTGCGGTCCCTTAATGTATAAGCTGCTGAATCTTGTATTATCCTGATTGTGTTTCCACAATAGTTGAATTGTTTCTTTCTGGCTGCTTGTAATATTTTCTCCTTGACCTGGGAACTCTGGAATTTGGCTACAATATTCCTAGGAGTTTTCCTTTGGGGATCTCTTTCAGGCGGTGATCAGTGGATTCTTCCAATTTCTATTTTGCCCTCTGGTTCTAAAATATCAGGACAGTTTTCCTGGATAATTTCTTGAAAGATGATGTCAAGGCTCTTTTTTTGATCATGGCTTTCAGATAGTCCAATAATTTTTAAATTCTCTCTCCTGGATCTGTTTTCCAGGTCAGTTGTTTTTCCAATGAGATATTTCACATTGTTTTCTAATTTTTCATTCTTTTGGATTTGTTTTACAGTGTCTTAATTTCTCATAAAGTCACTAGCTTCCAGTTGCTCCATTCTAATTTTTAAGGAAGTATTTTCTTCAGTAAGCTTTTGGACTTCCTTTTCCATTTCACCAGTTTTGCTTTTTAGGGCATTCTTCTCCTCATTGACTTTTTGGACCTCTTTTGCCATTTGGGTTAGACTATTTTTTAAGGTGTTATTTCCTTCAGTATTTTTTTGGGTCTCCTTTAGCAAGCTGTTGACTTGTTTTTCATGATTTTCTTGCAAAACTCTCAGTATTTCCTCTGCTTCTCTTACTTGCTTCTCAAAATCCCTTTTGAGCTCTTCCAAGGCCTGGGACTGATTCATATTCTTCTTGAAAGCTTTGGATGTAGGAGCTTTGGCTTCGTTGTCTTCTTCTGGTTGTATGTTTTGATCTTCTTTGTCACCGAAGTAAGATAATATAGTCTGACTCTTTTTGCGCTGCTTACTTATGATCCCAGCCAAATACTTGAGTTTTAAACTCTTTGTTAAGGTAAAAGTCTGATTCCAATGTGGGGAATGTACTGTCTCAAGCTTTGGGGGTTTTTTCAGCCGTTTTCAAAGGTACTCCTAGGGACCTGAACATTTTCAGTTCTTCCAAGGGGGTATGATAAGGGGCGAGGTGTTTCCACCACCACAACAAGCTCCACCACACCAGCGTTCCTTCTCGCCCCAGGACCGCCCCTCAGCACTGTGACCCAGATCCAAGCACAGGCAGAACAAGAGATTCCTGCCTCAGCAGTGGTAAAAAGATCCCTGCAATCCCCCTGTGATCAGTCACTTGATTCCCCCTCAGTCTGTGGGCCGGAAGCTCAGGAAACAGCCGTGGCCCTAGGGGCAGCTGAGACCTAGCTCCTTCTCTCACCACGGTCACAAACTTTTCCCACTGACCTTCCAAGTAGTCTTTGGTGATCATGGGTTGAGAAGTCTGGAAACCACCAAAGTTGCCCGCAATTCAGTCCTCTGAGGCCTGCTCCAGCGTTGCTGCAGCCTGTGTGCCCAAGTCGAACTGCGCTCCTCTCCCCGCCCAGCACGATATACTTTTCCAAACAACCATCCAGATTATCTTGGGCTGGCAATTTGCTTCACTCTGTCTTTTTATGGGTTGTGCTGCTTTAGAATTTGTTTAGAGCCATTTTTTATGGGTATTTGGAGGGATTTGGGGGAGAGCTCAAGCAAGTCACTGCTTTCCCTCCGCCATCTTGGCTCCGCCCCCCCCCCCCCTTGATAAAACCTTCCTTCTGTCACTAGGCTTTAGAGATTTTCTCCCAACTTCCCTTCTACTCTTCTCACTCTTCGTTAGCAACGAGCTCCTGCCATAGAGACCTAGAAACCCAGAGCTGGAGTAGACATTGGAGGGGAGTATCACGTCCAACCTGCCACATGGACTAGAATTCCAGCAAGGGTTAGAGCCTCTGTTTCCAGAGCTTGAGAAGGGGGAAACCCTCTCCGTGCTGGGGGAGCCCTCTCCACTGTGGATGACACCTCCCCATGTTCCCAGTTCTGCCCTCCCGTGTCAGGCAGAAGGAAGAGCCTCTCTTTCTACAGAGCAGCCTTCTCTGTGGTTTGAGTGCCTTATTTTGTGGTACTTGTGTTAAATCCTTTCCCAGATCCTGGGCTTCCCTGCCCTTGAATCAGAGGCCACAGAAATGACATCTCATGGGCAGACAGAACAGAGCAGCTGGGTCTTGTCTGCTCCTGCCCATGTTCTTGACAGAAGGATGAGGAAGTAGTTTTCTTTTGCCTTTTATCTTTTGAGAACCCATAGCTGGTTTTTTCTGCACCTCCCCAAAGAAGCAGGTTGTTATCATCATAGCTAAGACTTCCTTTTTTCTTTTTGTTGTGGCTCAGGTCTCTATCTTAGAAAGGCGTAACACAGCCGGGAAGGTGGTATACAAAACTCTGGAAAATCCCTGGACTGGAAGCGAGAAGGATAAGTTCATCCTTCTGGGCTATCTGGATCAGCTACGGAGAGACCCCGCTCTTCTTTCCTCCGAGGCCATCTTACTTGATCTGGTGGATGAACTTGCTCCTGTAAGTATCGCTGGCCCATAATAGTTCACGTGAAATATCTCTTGGTGCTTTAGTGCTATGAAGATTTCCAAAATACTCTCCCTGCAGCAACCCTGTTAGGTAGCTAGTGTGAACATTATTATCCTCATTCCACCAATGGGGAAGCAGTGTCAGAGCTAGATTTTCAATAGTCTTCTCTACCCTACTGCTTCTCAGAATTCACAGAAGATTGGGCTTATGCTGTTTGCATGATCTTATAGCAGGGGTGAGTGAGAAGGTTAAGCAAGGGTGCCATGTTAGACAAGGAGACTGTTAATGCAGTAGGAGTTTGTTGACTGTTGGTGGCCACTGTGCTAAGGCAAAAGAACCTTTGCCTTCTTTCTGAGGTTAGAATATGGAAGAACAATGCTGTACTTGGCACTTGGGCTCCAATCTTTCAGAAATAATTTATTCATATACAGACATTGCTCAGAGAGAGGTCCAATCAGGCAGTTTCTCTTGCCCATTGGAATTCTCTTCCAAGCAGTTTCCACTTAGATTTTCTAGTAATCCTAAAACAAAAGACAAAATTCCATAGCAAAGTAAAATAAAAGTACCTATCATAAGTTTAGATTTTGCTGATTTTTTGTTTTGTTTTGTTTTGTTCACCATACAGAATAATAATAATGTTATAGTTGGTATACCCTTGGAGAAACAGCTTCCTTAAACCAATCATTTCCTCTTTAACCATTCCCCTTTCAGTCAGGTCAGAAGTGAGCAGAAAGATACTTCTTAATTGAATTAAATAGACATTTTCACTCTTAACTAACCTAGCAAACTGTTAGCCATAAATAACAAAGTCTTGTTTCAGAAAATCAAAATCCCTCCCAAGAGGAAATTGAGTCTTCTGTTCAAGGAATACTGATTAGGTCTTAAACTTAAGTGAGACTAAGGACTTCCAACTACAACACCATCCTCAATGTTATTCCATAATATCTGACACTAATGAGGCCTTAGCACTATGCTTCCATGGGAAGGAGCAGTATCACTGTCTGATTCCTTGTTCTTTCTTTTGAAATTAGGTGTTTTTCCTTCGATGGATATACTCCACTTCTGAGTACTTTTCAGACTTCTGGGACAGTGTACTTCACAACAATTGGTAGGAAAATTGTTTGTGTTGAATGGTTGTTTCTGTGTTAATACCAACATTGCTTTTCTTAGGAAGTAATTTCTGAGAAGGACTTGTTGACATGGACAAGTGAGAGAATACTCAGGAATTTTCAAGGGAGATCTCTTTCTCAATAGCCTAGGGTACATAGTTCTGTAAACAAATAGGCACCCAAATGTTTGTTGAATGACAAATTTCTATTCTTGAGTGATTATGGACAGATCATGCTATCAAAAGACCGGAAAGAAATACGCAAGGCCACTTCTATTTAGTCTAATCCCCAGCCTTCACAGAAGACTTTACTGAAGTTGCTGTAGCCACGGGTTTACAGAAAACCAGTCATGTTGCCCATTCATTAACCTTTTTCAGTATCTAAACACACCATCTTCATTGTAGGGAAGTTGTTCCTGATGTTTAACTTAATCCTTTATCTATTGCCTGTTTCCTTTCATAGGTTTATACTTAATAAATTCTGCATGTTGCCCCTGAGATCCAGAGTTCTTGTTATGGCTGCCTTCGAGTTAGAGTTTTTGAGGGCAAAATAAAGTTTACCTCTTTGGAGACAAAAGAGACAAATGCATTAGAAATGGAAAAAACCACTCCATGTTGCTTGTTGGAAAGGAAAAAACACTCAGTATAACCTGTTTTTCCCATCTGTTAATCTTGTTTCAGGCGAGAAATGATGCCCCTTCTGTCCCTGATCTTTTCCGCTCTCTTCATTCTTTTTGGAACAGTCATTGTTCAAGCTTTCAGGCAAGTACCCGAATGTTTACTGCCCCTGCCTTTGAAGTATTTCTACAGCCAATCTCCACTTAATTTGAAAGCCCTTTTCTTCATTTGTTCAGTGATTCCAGTGAGGATCAAGAGTCACGGCCTCCTGAGAAAGAAGTCAGTGAGAAGACTGAGAAGACCGAGACCTGCTTCAGCAAAGAGAACAGCAGGTAGCAGCGTAAAGAAAGTCATCTGTAGTCATGAGGTGCCATTGGCATGGCACCTTGAGACTAATGAAGCACTGGCCAGATGGCAGCTCTGAAAAACGTCCTGGATCTGTGGTTTGATTGGTGTAGGGACCTCCATAGCACCTGCATCTTCCTTTTTTTGGAACCGCTTTAAGCTAAACTGAAGCAGTGCAGTGTACATACAGACACATGATACCTGTATGTGTGTGTACATAAATGTGTGTGTGCGCGCGTGCGCACACATAAACTAGTATAACCTTTTTGAGGGGGCATTTTATTCAAATCCTCCAATTCATGGAAGTCATGCCTTACCTGAAAGGAATTGCATTCAAACCTGTTTTCATTAGTTTCTTTTAAACCAGTCTTACTGTGCTAATTTGTTTTTATCACCTACATTTCCCAGTTGTATCACACTTCCACTTCCAAAGAACCATCCCATAAAACAGAATAGCAGAGAAAGAAAAGCAGCACACCAAGCTCAAGTCTACATGATATAAAGAGATTTAGCCCAGTGACCCCTTGATTAGACCAAGAAGGGGCTTTCTCATAGCTATTCTCTGGGATCAAGCTTAGTGGTTATATTTTTGTAGTGTCTGGATTGTTTTCTGTTGTTTTTCATTTTGTCATATTGTTGTTGCCGTTGTGTAGGTTGTTTTCCTGGTTCTGTTTATTTCACTTTGCATCAGTTCATATAAGCCTTCCCATGCTTCTTTGTATTCATCATATTCATTTTTTTTTTACAACATAGTAACATTCCAATACATCCCTATTCTATGGCAAATTTAGCCATTCCTCAACCAGTGGGCATCCTACTTCATTTTCAGTTCTTTGGTACAACAGAAAATGTTGCTACAAATATTTTAGTATATATGGAGCCCCTTTTTAAAGGGGCTTCTTAACCTCCCTGGGGCTTATGCCTATCAGTGGGTTCTCTAGGTCGAAAAGTATGGATATTTTAGTCCCTTTATTTGCATAATTATCCAAGCTACTTTCCAAAATAGTTATACTGCTTCACTGCTCCACCAGCAGTGCACCAGTGTGCCTGTCTTCCCAGTGTTGCAGTTTCATGGTGTATCGTGGAGTCATCTCAAAAGAATTCACAGATTCAGACCATCTCCAAACCTAGTAAAGGCATTTGTTGAGAATTATGCATCTTAGAAAGCCAGCTGAGCTCCAAGAAGGAACTGGTGATTTCAGTAGGACAAGACAGGCAGTTTTATAGAGTATATGATGCTGATTACACAGTAGAAAATATGAATATTAAAAAGACAGGAGGGGTTTGTCAAGGGATTAGGTAATAGGGGAGGGGTCTCAGCCTCAGTGGAATTACACATGCGATTTCCCATAATGCACACAGAAAAACCAATTTGGAAGAGCATTAGTATATAATAATGATATTATAGTCAGCCTTTCTACATTATAAGTTTACTTTAGGTCATTTCTTCACTATTACTGTGCAGATGCCATCTTAGGAAAGCCCCTTCTATAGTTTGGTGGTCAGGTGTCCTGGTCAGCATCCTGGTGGTGCTACTTTCTGATTGCCTGGCTTTTATGGTCCTGTCTGAGACTAGATGGATGTGGTTGTATTTGAGTACGTGGACACACCTGCTGTTTTTGTGAAGAAAATGAGGAAGTTGAGATCATGGGGGTGTGGACAGCTTTATTAGGATTCCATCACCAGAACTCCTCCAATACTGACTATTCCCATCTTTTGTCATCTTTGTCAATTTGCTGGATAGGATGTAAAATCTGAATTGTTTTTATTTGCCTTTCTGTTATTAGTACTGATATGCAATGATCTTTTATGTGGTTATAATTTCCTACTATTCTTTTGAACTGTTCATATCCTATTACCACGTAGTCCCTTGGGGAATAGCTTTTAGTCTTATATCTTTCTGTTAGTTGCCTATAGGTTTCCCCCCCACAGTTGACTGTTTCCCTTGTTGCTATTCTCCTTGTTCTAGCTGCTTTAATTTTGTTTATACAAAAGCTTTTCAAATTCTTGTGATCAAAGTTAAATACTTTATTTCTTGTGGTCAGCTTTATCCCTCATTTAGATAAGAACTCACTTCCTACCTGTGGCTCTTTGGTCTCTTTTCTGGTTGTTTTTATGGTTTCACCTTCTGTAGTCGGGTCAGGCATCCATTTTGAGTTTATTGTGGTAGATGACACAGAAAAGTTGATCCAAACCTCATTTCTGCCCTGCTGCTTTCCAGTTTTCCCCATTGTTTCTTGTGAAATAGAGAATTCCTCCCCAGGTAATTTGTGTTTTTGGGTTTATCAAATACTCAGTTTGATTTTTCATGATTTTCTTTGCCCCATCTATTTTGCTGGTCTACTTTTCTGCTTTTTAAGTGATACCAAGTAATTTTGGTGAGTACTGCTTTGTTGTATAATTCGAAGTCTGGAAGTGCTTATTCCTCCTTCATTCCCACTTATTTCCACTGTTTATCTTGCTACTGTAGACCTTTCATACCATTAGTTTTTACTGGAACGCTTTGGCCTTACAGTGGTCTCCTTTACAATATGATAAGTCATCAGAGGGCTACTTTAGTACAGGTCCAGTGAGGCACTGTGTCTTTTGTTCCAGGGCCAACTTAGCTAAGTTCAGAGAGATTCAGACCAAAGGGTGAGGAATTTTGGGGGAAGTGCAACCCCAAAACCTACTAAGTTTTGGAATGTTTATGAGGTACATCAGTCATTATACAAGGGAGAACCCACCCTTGGCCTGTGAGATCTCTAAATCATTGAAGTATTAGCCATGGCCTTCACTTGCCCACCTTTCACTTTTCGATATTTCTCCACAGCAGAATTCCCAAGAAGGGTTTTGTGGAGGTGACTGAGCTTACAGACGTCACATACATGAGTAACCTAGTTCGACTGAGGCCAGGTCACATGAATGTCGTCCTTATTCTGTCTAACTCCACCAAGACCAGCCTGCTTCAGAAGTTTGCTTTTGAGGTGTACACATTCACTGGGTAAGCGTTGGGGTGTATAGCAAAAGGCAGGGAGAGATCTCTGAGCTCACATTGGAGCAAGGGTTAGTTTTGTTGGGCTTTCCCCCCTTTTGTGCCCTTTAACTTGGGAGGCCTTGGGTAATTCAAGCCAGACATGAATGCAGAGCCTGGATGTGGAGTGGAATGTGCAAGATGTAAAGAATCCCTCTCATGTGTACCCAGGACTCACGGGTACAATCAGACGTAGAAGAAAAGGTGTTTGCTTTCAGTCTTGGTCTTAGATTCTTTTGCTTTGATTGAAGCAAGAGACTGAAAAGATTCCAACTTTCTGGGCCCTTCAGTAGAAACTTTTCCCTTGGTTTCTTGTGCAAGTGGCCCAGGGAGAGGTTTGCGGTGTAGAGGGCCATCCTGGGTCGGGGCCCTCTGAGCCCCTCCTGCAGCCCATTCCCTGCCCCAGTGCCGAAGGCATCCATCCACAGGTGAGTCTGACTAGATTCTGGTTCATCTGGTTGCTGTTCTTTCCACAGGAGCAGCTGCCTTCACTTCTCCTTCCTGAGTCTTGATAAGCACCGAGAATGGCTGGAATATCTCTTAGAGTTTGCCCAGGATGCTGCTCCCATCCCAAACCAGTATGATAGGCATTTCTTGGAGCGTGACTACACTGGCTACGTCCTGGCTTTGAACGGACACAAGAAATACTTCTGCCTCTTCAAGCCCCAGAAAACAGTAGATGACGAGGAAACCATAGGTCCAAGTGGTGACCTTGACACTTCTCTCCATCTGGGCGAGACTCGAGGGAAACCTTTCTGTAATTCTGGATCCAAACCCATCAAAGGCAAACTAAGCAAGCTGTCCTTATGGATGGAACGCCTTTTGGAAGGCTCTTTACAAAGATTCTATATCCCATCGTGGCCTGAACTAGACTGAGAGGATTTTTTAAAAAGAGATTCAGCCCCTCCAGACTTTGTAAGAAGATAAGCAGGACTGTCCAAACCATCACATCAGACAGACAGTAGGTTTTAGATACTCTTCTAGGACAGTGGCTAGGAGAATCCTCCCTTTGGCTTGCTCTAACCTAAGAGTGAAATATACCACAAGTTGAATTCTCTGTACCAAAATGTTTGGGGTTTTTTCCTCATTTGGATGCCGCACTATTTAAAGCAGACATTCTCTCTTCCTCTCATGTCCTCACCACGTGTTCTTCCCATATTTTGTTCTGTCTCTTCCATGGAGAGACCCCATGACTCAGAGAAAACTGAGCCTTATGAAGCTCGTGGGCAGAGGCAGTCACCTCCCCCCCTTTCTCATCCCTCTCTGTCCTCTTCCCACTGTGCTCCTGCCTCAGTGCCTGCAATAATCCTGGGGCGAGGGTGGGAGGGGGTACCCTGGAAGTGGCCAGGAGTGTATTTGGGGGCATCCCCCTTTAGCAGACTGTGAGCTGTCTTTCCTGCACTGACAAGCTGAGCAGGGGCCCTGCATATGCATTCATTTTTTTTTCCAGGGGAAGGGAAGAGCAAAAGTGTCCGAGACTTTGCAGTTCCATGTTCTTGATGTCGTGGCCTAAAGAGTCCAGACAAGCCTCACCTGCTTAGCCCATAGCCCAGGCGAGGGGGACACCAAGGGAGCGCTGCGGCCACTCTGAGCCATTGCAATGTCTATTGTCTTCAGATGCCTTTTTGTCTCAGCCAGTTGTAGGGCACTCTCTTAACTAGGAGCCATAACCTCTGGTTGGGTTCTCAGATGTAGGGATAAGCTACCATGAGCCAGTAGATGCATAGAACCCAAGTCAAACACTTCTCCTTTGTCTCGAGTCAACCTGAAGGAATCTTTTCAACCCCCAGGGCACAGCTTTAGGACAACAGACATTTCTTTGTATCAAGGAACTTAAAATTTGCCAGTAATTGTTTTGAATTCTGTTGCCTGCACAGTGCTGTCAAATTGTGTCACCAGTGGAACCACTCTAGTTGTAGCAGCCCATTTAGATGATGCTTGGTTTCAGCCTCTGGCCCATTTTGACAGGTCATCTCAGCCATTTTCCATATTAACTTACCATCACCCTCAGCAACTTCAGGGTCAGACTGAAATTGCCAGCTGTTTCGGCTTGGTTGGCTCCAGATGGGACGGTGCCAACCTGTTAGAGCTGACCCCTTCTTTAAGGACAGAGCTACCAGGAGATAGTAAAGGCTGACTGCCTTCGAAAATGTCAGCATGACCTACTCATCTCTAAAACAGGAGGCAGAAACCAGAGACAGGGCTCATAGGAAAATGACGTGGGTTTTTTTAAATTATAATTGCTTTAGACTATATCATTTGACTGCAGAATAACCCAGAAGCAGTTACATTGTGAGTGCGTGCAGGGGTAAAGTGGTGAATGATTTAAACCAAGATTCTTCCAAAATTATCCATTGGGGGTGGGGGAGAACCCAGTGCCAGCCTTCCCTCTCCCCTTGATCCTCCAAGAAATGCTTGAGTAGCCTTGGCAGCCTTTGTCTTGGGACCCACCTGACAGAGCTAGAGCACTGGCACCAGCCAAGTCACCATTTGACTTTCTAGTCCAGCGATGCTCAGCCTTGTCCCTGGGCCCCATGTGATTAGGGTGAGAGGGGCTGCAGAAGAGAATGGACTCATGCATTTGCTTGGGCTTCCAGTGCAGCCGTGAGCTTTTCTTTTTAATTCCTGTTCGCATGGGCTTCCTCACCTTAGGTTCTGAAAACCAAAAACCTCTTCCTAAACTTGCTGCTTCTTTTTTTTGCACTTTGCCTTGTGTAGACAATGCAAACCAAGTGGCCAGATGTACTTTCAGCCCCGCTCCTACTAACACAAGGCCACTGAGTTTCGACTGGGGCCGCTGCTGGGGAAGGTGCTAGTCCTGACAGCTCCCCCAGAAGTCTTTTTTGGGGCAAGGGTTTTTGTCAAGTTAAAAGAAGATTTTAAATGAGGGACTTGGTAATTGATCTCTAAGATCCCTCCCAACTCTGACACTGTGTTCTAAGGTCTGTTAGAATGGTCCTACCATTCTGTGGATATGGGTTTGTGATTCCTTTTGTACAATATGGATTTTGCTTTTTTCTTTTCAAACTGAACCCCTCAATAATCTAAGCCTTTCCTCCAAAGATAGTCTCAACTGCTATTATTTGCTCTTATTTTGGAGGCACCTGCATAAAGGATGAATTATTTATTCAAACCAGCTTTCTAATTTAAAGTGAACTTTGAGGTATGACCAAGTTGATGAAGCCACTTACAGTTAGGTTCTTTCTTCCTGATTGGTAAAGGACTCTGTACGTAAGTGTGTTCACTGCTGAGAATAGATACATAAACGCATGACAACTGAGCCAAAACAAGTTTGTGAGAACATTGCTTCATTTCAAAAGGAAAACGCCTCTTTCCATTGTCCTCCCAGTCTTCAAAGCCGTGACCTTCAGCAGAGCAATAATAGCCTAAGCCCAGCCCCCCTGTCATTAAACACCCTCAAATGCTCTCCCCACCCCCAGCCCAGCACTGGGAGAGGTTACCCAGCAACAGCAGTGCTCGTCTCACCAATGCCGTCTGGACCCATCTACCACGACCACGCAGGTGTGCGGGGGCTCCCAGCCGAAAAGCAATAGGCTTGCGTGGGTAGGAATTAAGGATGGGGAACACACACAGAGATCCTGTTTTTATTTTATTTTATTTTTTAGTAAAAATTCTCAGAAACTGAAGCAAAGCATCTTTGCAACAAAGGGAAATTTAGCTGACAGCCAAACCCTGACGTTCCTGCTTGAGAGCAGTCTGACTGGGCTACAGTCAGCAGCATCCGACAGTTGTTGGGCAGGTGGGTGGGCAGGCTGTCAGTTCAATGCAAGTCTGGAGAGGGAGTGGTCATACCTGAGAGAGAGCTCTGAAAAGAAGGTGAATATTTTGCACTTTTGATACTCTTAGCAACAAATAACTTATTTAGCAAATTGTCTTTTTTTTATGTTTTTTGTATTGTGAACAGGCATTGATGTTATTTTTGTTTTAAGACTTACAGACTGGAAACTGAAATAAACTATTTTAATGTGTGACGATGGTGGGTCAGCTCTTGGATTGTAATGATGGCAGCCTAGATCACAATGGCTGTGATAGAGTGGCCGTGAGTGAGCACGAGGGCAGAATGGAGTGGGCATGACATTTTCCTGGCTCCACTGGCCATGATCACAGAGGTCAGATGTACCCCACTATGTGAGCTAGTTTTCATGGGTGACCCTTCCTTTCCTTGTAAGCCTGACGTTTCTCCAGGTCTTAAGTCCAAGATACAATTGCAAATTCCCAGTTTCCTAACTACCTAGTGCAAGTAGTTGTTGATAGAGTCATCTTTACTATATGTTCTGTGTCACTCCTTTCAGCACTGACATCCTAGGATACTATGGGTGATCAGAATTCCTGGTTAGTTCTCGGGAGGGTAGGCTTTTGTTTGGGGCATGGTTTTTTTGGCTGTTTAATTTCTATTTAATTGTAACTATGTCCTTGGAAAAGAATTAGCTTATATTGATGATCATTTTATTTTTCCATTTCTATAAGTCAGACAAGACACTTAGGACACATTTAGCAGAAAATCATTATTTGGTTTGGCAAAAACTTGTCCAGTGTACGTAATCCTCTGGGTGATTCAGCTAGGCCACTTGCCTATAGACTCTTCCTAAGACTTGTCTGCCCTGTGGCCAGTCCACCCTTGTAAGGAGATTTCCCTTTGAGAAGCGCCAAGGCCAGGAACAGCTTAGACAGTTTTCACTTTGGGGAGAACACACAGCATCTCGAACAGCAGATTGGCTGCCAGGAGAGCTGTGTTTCCTGAAAAGGAAGAAGGCCCACGAGAGTTTGCTAAGCAGCTTCCACCCAGAGGAGCTCCTCTCACAAAAGCTTGAGAATGAGAACGTGAACACATTCCCAAGAGGAGTTTTTCCCACTGTCCATCCCTCCTTTAGGACTTCCAACATGACATCCATCTTCCTGAGACTGGATTTAATCATTCTACTCCTTTGTTCAGCATCAGTACTTAAAAGTTCAGTTGGAATACCCTTTTTTTTAATCCAGAAAAAGAAATTTCCCAAGGAAAACTCGTCATAAGTGTCTTAGGTAATACCATCAATTCTTTCAGGTCAGCCAGGCCCTAAATCTATAGACCTTTCTGGCCTAAAATCAGTGGCTCAACATCTGTCATGAACATCTGCTGTTGAAGCAGCCTGTTCGGTAAAGCAGCACTACTCAAGTGTTTGCTTTTCAGTGAAATATTAAACCATAAATATAAAATATTAAAGCCGGTTGACACTCTGTCACAAAACTGCAGGCCTAGCTTTTTCTTCAACAGACAGGTGGGGAAGGCTAATAATATTTAACCCTCTCCCAGGGGTTTTGTTATGGGTAATTAGCTTGTGTTGGCAAGGAGCAGAATCAGAAGCTGCTTTGCCTCACTATTAGAAACGTTCCCTTCACTGAACGAAGGGAATTTCACATTTCCCTAGCGACTGACCAAATCAAACACTCCTCTGACCCGGCCATTACTTACAATTTTGTCCCCCGTACTCACCAGAAGGATCATATATAGGCGCGACTTCCACAAGATCGCAGCCCACTACGTTCAGGCCTTGACATCCACGGATAATCTCCAAGGCCTAAGCAAGGTGAATGGTCACGTTAGCAAGAAATGGGAATGTAACCCGTCAGCACAGTGACCTCCCAAGGTAAACCTCATGCTGTGATGTCTGAGGTCCCAATCTGCAGCTTCCTAACAGACCAACGGATGAAGCCAGACGTAGAAAAGTCCCAAATGAACCTTGGTCCCTGAACTCCCCACCCAGCGTTAGAGATCAAAGGATTCTGAACTGGAGGGGATGTCCCGGAAAATTCAGTCAGAGCCATTGTGAAGGTCAGGCACCTGAACTGTGCTGTGAAGGAGGCTAGAAAGGAAGGAGCATTCCAGACATCGGAAGCTCCTCTGTAAAGGCATGGAGGTGGCCGGGTTAGAACAGTGCACGAAGGGAACTGATGAGAAAGACTGGAAACACGGGAGCCATATTTGAGAGGGCTTTAAGTATGCTAGGCTCAGGATTTTGCGTTTTCTACTAGCAGCAGCCTCCTCGTTTTACAACTCAGTGAGCCCGGAGAGGTGGTTATTTGCCCAAGGTTGCATGTTACTGCAGCAAGTGAAAGAGCCATAAATTAGACCCAGGTCCCCACTCTTTGACTCGTAGCTGAGTGGGTCTGAAGCTGAGAATTCAGACACTTGTTCTTTCAGACCCTCCTTACTTGACTCGGTGTGAGGCCAGCAATCTCAGGAGTCCCTGTCCCTGGGGCATAGGCTGGATCCAAGGCATCGATATCAAAGCTGATATAAATAGGTTTGTCTCCCATCTGCTGCCTCACTTCCCCCATCAACGGAACTAGAGACTTCAGCCAGCAGTCTTCAGCCAGGACCACACGGAAGCCCTGCAGGATGTGAAGTTAAAGATCTCTAGAGAACAGAGAAGTTTCCCAAGCCAGAGAAGGGAAAACGACCTTCTCTGCTGCTGTTATGGAAGAGAGAGAGAGACAGTGGAGTTTTTCCTGCCCCCCTTCTGCTTTATCACCATTCTCTTCTGTCCCCACTCAAAAGTCAGTTACTATTGAAGACCAAGCGCCCCAAAGGCATCCAAACACCAGACAGGTAGCTGTTCATCTTCTGAATGGCTCTTTTGATTTGTTCCTCAAGCATTTATTAAATACTTGCTGTATGCCAAGCTCTGTGCTAGGTGCTGGGGACACAGACCAAAATGTGTGTACAGTATATGTGTATATACACACACATATGTATATACATATATGCACACACATATATATATGTGTGTATATGTACACATATATATGCCCTTAAGTAGCTTATATTCTACCAGATCAGGGGTTCTTAACCTTTTTGTGTGTCACGGGCTCCTGTGGCCACCTGGCAAAGCCAAGCACTACAGAGGTCCTTTGCCTCCCTTCTTAATTGAAGGAAATGAAATGCCAAGTTTCAGTTACATGGTGGTGAAAATAAAATCCTTTTTTCTCCATCTAAGCTAAACCTCCTCTAATCTATCCATAGTCCTCTTAAGCATCAATGGACCCCAGATCAAGAGTTCCTGAATGGATGGATACATTTGAACCGATTCTAGTCTGGACCTGTGAATTAATTGGTATAGAAAATTCCTTTTACCAGTGCCGATCGACATATGCTTTGCAACTTTTAGGGAATTAACCGGGGCCCCAAAAAGCTAAAAGGCTTGGCCCTGGTCCCACAGCCAGCATGTAGGAGGTGGCATGCGGAGGAATGGACTTGAACCCAGGGCTTCCTGTTTTCCAGGCTGTCTTTTGATAAATATAATTTAAGGTGGGAGAGAGCACCAATGCCAGGGATCAGCAAAGGGGCTTCCTGGAAGAGAGCACACGTGAGCTCAGCCTGGCAGAACGTGTTGAGACACTAATAAAGCTGTCATGGCCGGGTTACTGTCTTCTTGGACATAAGAAATGTTCTTTCTGTGTCTGGGGTCCCTGCATCCCCATCAGACACTGCTTAGCTCATTCCTGGGAGCAGCTGCCAATATTCTTGGTACCATTCCACTAACACCCGCCTCCCTTCTTACTTCCTCACCCCCAGAATGTGGTTTCTCATCCCACGGGCCAGCATCCTTGTCTTTGTCTCATGTAACACTTCTGGTAAAAACAGTCTGTCACCCCCAGCATTCCCAGCCTCGTGACTGAAGCAAGCCCTGACTGCCACCTTACATAAGCTTTAGGGAGAGAAGAGTAGAAGGACTCTTCTTGCCCAATCTATCACCTGGTCTCGATTGTATTTGTAGGGATTCAGGGTCATGGAAGGTCCCCGGATGCCTATCTGCACCACTCGTTTACAATCCAGGAGCCCTTCTTCTACACAGCGGCGAAAGGGGGTCCCGTGGTAGAGCTTCTCTCCCAAGGCTTTGTCAGCTGTATCTGTGTGGGCATCGACATGCAACAGCCCAACAGGACCATGCCTAGTGACAGCAGAGGAAGCAGAGGGGAGAGTCAGATGTCTCTGGAAGGCCAACTCAGCAACAAATATAGAAATGATAGGACTTGGTAGGATAGGATGATAGAAAATTTAGACAAGAACATAGTGCCTGCCCTCATGGACCTTATAGTCTAATAGGATAATATGACATACAGATACCTTTGATAAAATAAATGTGTGATAAACATATTCAAGTATGGTGAATGAAGCATCCTATGGGAGGGCTAAAGTAGAGAAAGATGGTTAAAGGGACTGGGTTCGGGTCCTAGGCTCAGCTACTTACTAGCTCTGTGATTCTGGGCAAGTCACTGAAGATCCCTCTCTGCCTCCGTTTCCTGTTCTATTAAATGAAGGGTTTGGACCAGCTGGTGTCAAACTCTAATAGAAACAGGGACCACTAAACTCTACGCTGGCCACATATTGGCTGAGTTTTAAAATGGAATGTTATCTATGGGTTACTGTGTTTTTATTTGCTTTGTGAAATATTTCCCAATTACCTTTTAATCTGGTTCAGGTCAAACTTGAGAGTACAATGGGCCCTGTGCTCACGTATGGACACCTCTGGATTAGACAACCTTTAAGGCACTTTCCATCTTTTAATTCTATGACTGACTGACTAACTAGGATGGGTCAGAGAAGGCTCCCAGGAGAAGGAGGCATTCTGAGTTGGGCTTAAAAGGATGTGTAGGAATTCAAGAGGGAGAGGCAATGGGTGAGCATGGCAGACATGAAGAATAACAAGAACAAAGAAGAGCCTACGCGCGCTCACCAGCACGTACACACACACCATAAATGCCCTTCTCCCTGGGAGTACATGGAAGGGGATAAGTCATATGATATGTGTCTAGAAAGAGAACATGGCAGCAGATTGTGGGAAGCCTTCAACACCAGGGCAGAAGAGTCTGAACCTCACTCAGGAGGAAGTAGGTAGTCCTATTCTCAAGATTTTCCACGCTTAAAGATTCCAGGATCATTTTGGTTTTCTTCAGCTGGCCTCTTGGTCCCAAACCTTAATCAGCAGGGATCAAATCACACAGTTGGGAGCAGCGGCAAGCTTGCGAAATGAGTCTGGAAAGAGGCAGCCAGGTGGTGTAGTGGATAGAGCACCGGCCCTGGAGTCAGGAGGACCTGAGTTCAAATCTGACCTCAGACACATAATACTTCCTAGCTGTATGACTCTGGGCAAGTCACTTAACCCCAATTGCCTCACTAAGAAAATAAAAAAGAAAAGAAATGAGTCTGGACATCTTGATTGCCACCTGGAATTTTTCTCTTTCTTAGGGCAGTATTGTAAGAGCTGTTTGGAAATGGATTTAGAGATGAAAGGGGACCCTTGAGATTATCTAATCTAATTCCCTTATTTTATAAAGGAGAAAATGGGAGGCCTCCCGAGGTTAAGTGACTTGTTGAAGGTCACACAGGTAGAACCCAGACTCCCTGGCCCCTAATCCATCTTTTCACCACACCATGCCACCCCCATGGTGGCCACAGACACACCACAGGACTACGCTTCATCAAATACAGACCGAACCCAAATGGTACCCTTGTTCTCTGCTCTCCATCAAGGCGACAATGAAGCATTTCCTTGCTCAACTTTTCCTGGGAGAGACCCTGTCTGCTGTCTGGGGACCTTCAGGGTAGGAAAGAGCCCCTGCCTCCAAACTCACCCTTATCTAAATGCTCAGTCTTTCCTTTGTCACTGAATGCTGAAACCAAACCAAATAAAATTCACTGTTACCTAGAGATTGAGTACTTCATTGGGGACGAGCTTTTGCAAAACCTGAAGGAAAGTTTAAAATGCTGAGCACGCTGGTCAGAACAAGATGGCAGCAGGCACCAGAGGGTGAATGTGCTCTGGAGACTCAAAGTTCTGACTTGTGCCTGGCAAATGACAAACGCTCATGGAGTCTTTCTTCATTCCTCCTAGACGCACACCACCAGCCCAGCCCTTTGGCTAGGCAACCTCCTAACACTCCCCCACCCCCAACCAATGACCTGAGCTCATAGGACCTCAGAGCCAACAGTACCCGGATTGTTAAAAGCTAATTTGTTTTAGATCTTCCAAAACTCACTTTTCCGCCAACACCTGCAGTATGGGGTAAGTGATTGTGTGATCTCCTCCTGTAATGAAAGAAAAGGAAAAAAAAATCACCCTCCTTTGGAATTACAGGGAGGAGTGATGGACTCTGCCTAGGACATAGATATAACAAGTTAAAATGCATCTCATTTGGAGCTCCTTTCCATTAAGATGAAAGAACTGAAGCCAGACCCGAAATAAGAGTGGGTTCCATGAGGGGGTGGCAAGGATTGAGTAAGGGGAATAGCCCCCATTTGAACACCTTTGAAGCACATTAGAGAAACTGAGGCACACACCAAACCATGCTCAAGAAAACTTTTAAAGGTGGCACTGTTACAAGTATTGGAGTTGTGTCCTCATTGCCTCAAGCCATCAGGATGGCTCATCTCTCTACCAATGAAGCTTAATGTGGACATTTTCATGGCACCTCAGGGCCCAAGTTGAAGTGATGAAGCTTGAGGGCATTTCCTAAGAAGGGGCACACACATGTAGCCTACTGGGGGGGGAAAGTTGTTGACTCAAAGTCTTCCCAGTCTGGGAGCATCTGCTGAGATAACCCCACTCCTCCCACTCCCACCCACCCGCTCAAGGTCATCTCCATGTCATCTTGAAGAGTCTGAAAAGGGCTTTTGTCTCCCCAGTCCAAAAAAAGAAAATGTTCTTGGACCTTCAGTAGCTCATAGTATATGGGGCAAATGTTATATTAAGCACCATTATATATATATATATATATATATCATATATATATTATGTAAGCACTATATATGCATTAAATGTCATATTAAGCACTTATGAATCCAACAGGGAGTTGAGAGGAAGGGGAGGTGAACAATAGATCAGGGAACTTTGTGCCAATCAGCCCTGGCTCTACAGGTTTGTAGTATCTGCCTCCTGAAGCCTTCACATTGCCCAGATCTGTCTGTGTGAAAGAACTTGACCAATCTGTGAGTTTCTTTTAATTTTGTCATCTTCCCCACAAGAAGTGCCCAGGTAGGACAACGAATGACGTTGCTCTTTCTTTCTTTCTCAATCTCAATTCTGATTGCTCCTGGGCTCCCCATCTTGGTGCCAGACTTAGTGTGAAAACTCAATCAGCTGCAGCCCAGGACTTCCCAACTCAAGTGATCCACCACCAAGTTAATCTCCGGCCCGACACTTAGCTGTGTGACTCTAGGCAAGTCCACCTAACCTCTGCCTGCCTCGGTTTCCTCAACAGTAAAATGGGGATCATAATAGCACTTAACTCCCAGGGTTGTTGGGAAGATAGAATGAGATAACTATTTTTAAAGGACTTAGCACAGTGCCTTAAACGTAGTAGGAGCTTAATAAATGCTTTTTTCCTTCCTTCCACCAGCTCCAAGGACTACACATGTGGGCCTTCACTATGTCTGCAAAATAAATGAAACAGTAATCTATGCTTGCCCTGAGCAAGCAGCTAGGTGCAAACCTATAATGAGAAAATTAACTAATGATACTAGCATTTACATAGCACTAAGCACTTTACAAATATGACCTCATTTGATCATTACAACAACTCTGGGAGGTAGATGCTATTATGATTCGCCTTTTACAGTTCAGGAAACTGAGGCAGGCAGAGGTGACACGACTCCAGGGTCACACAGCTAGTAGGTATCTGAGGCCAAATTTGAAGTCAGGGCATCCAGGGCTCTCTATCCACTGCACTACCTAGCTGCCTCATGATATAAAATAAACTGCCGTGGCCCCTTACCCAAGGTAAGAGGAATACAGCTGGCCGCTGCAATTCTCTGATAGGCTTCTCGAATGAGCCGGCAGCTGTCTGAGAGGTTGTACAGGTTGACATCCACATCACCAATGTCAGCCACCGAGATGGACTGGAAGGGGAGAGCGCCCGTGCTTGGGTTAACTGCCCTCAGCAACACAGATTCCTCCCGGATCCGTCGAGGACCAAACCTAGGAGATGAGAAGCATCACAATGAATCACCTGCCAAAGGGGATGAAAGGCCCTGCGTGGCCTTGTGCAAGGCGAAAAGCCTCTGGGAGCAGTCAGACAGCTGTTAACAGAAGCAGTTGGGAGGAGCCCTTCTCTCCAGACCTGCTTCTTCCAGGATAATAATAATTTCTATTATTAATAACAACAGCTAGCATTTACTATGTGCCAGACACTATGCTAAGCACTTTATAATCATTATCTCATTTGATCCTTGCAACAAACCCAAAAGGCAGGGGCTAATATTATCCCCAATTTATAGTTGAGGAAACAGGCAGGCAGAGGGTAAGTGACTTGCCCAAGGCCACACAGTTATTGTCTGAGGTCAAATTTGAACTCAGGACTACCTGACTCCAGGCCCAGTAAGTAGCCTGTTCACTGTGTCACCTAGATGCCCAATGAGCTATGTGTGCAAGACAAAAGAATTTTCTTTTAAATAGCAATTTAAGTATAGCTTGTTAGTTTTTCAGAAATAAGAATTTTTAGGAGAAACATAAAAGCAACTCCACCCCAAGAGCTTTGAGGGAGGCTAGGTGGCACAGCGGATAGAGTGCAAGGCCTGGAATGAGAAAGACTCATCTCTCTGAGTTCAAATCTGACCTCAGATACTTACTAGACGTATGACCCTGGGCAAGTCACTTCACCCTGTTTGCCTCATTTCCTCGTCTGTCAATTGAGCTGGAGAAGGAAATGGCAAAGTGCTCCAGTCTCTTTGCCAAGAAAACCCCAGATGGGGTCAAGAAGAGTCAGACATGACAGAAATGACTGAACAACAACAAAAAAGAGCTTCATCAATTTTTTTCCTCCAAAAGTACAAGGCACAAACAAGCCTAAAACCGGTCATTGGTCTGTTTTGATAAAGTCAAAGAGAATTCTGGTATTTAACAGACTGCACTCTCGGTTCACCTCCCCCCTGCCTCCTGGTTAGCAGCCCCCCAGCTCATCCCTCTCGGCACCTCTCCGCACATTCATGGAAGAGGCTGTGCTATGGTGGAGGCCACAGGCCCAGCCGAGTCAGGGGTTCAGGCTGTGCTATGAGCACTAGCTTTGGTACATCAGGTTCCCAGGATCCCGCCCTCCCTCCACCAGTGCAGACGGCAGCCCCCGTGACTTCCAGGACGGAATTTGGTAGCTCTTTGCTGCTGTTCAGTCATTTCAGTCACGTCCGACTCTCCATGACCCCACTTGGGGTTTGCTTGGCAAAGAGACTGCAGCGCTTTGCCATTTCCTTCTCCGGCTCATTTTACAGATGAGGAAACTGAAGCAAGCAGGGTGAAGTGACTTGCCCAGAGTCACACGGCTAGTAAGTATCTGAGGCTGGATTTGAATTCATGAAGATGCGTCTTCCTGACTCCAGGCCCAGCGCTCTATCTGCTCCCCCTTGGTAGCTCTAGCCACCAAAAAAAATCACCCTGCAATCTACCTGCTGACAAGGTTCAGCAAACCCAGCTGGTTTAGTCCTCCAGAAACAGACATTTTGTCAGTCGGTCACAAGAGCCCATGTTCCAAGCCTGTGTAAACTGGCGGGACCTGCTACACTGGCACTCTGCGGGCACAGCCTCTGATAACCCAGAGATGCCTCTACATCCATAATAACTAATTAGCAAACCCACTCTCCATTAAAGTCCTGATTCAGATGAAGTGTGCTGTGGAGAGGGGGGCCAGACCTAGAGTCAAGAAGACCTTGTTCGAATCCAATTCAAACACCAACTTCATGTAACTCTGGGCAAGGCACTTAACCCTTCTATGCCTCAGTTTCCTCATCTGAAAAATGGAGAGGCTAACAGCACCCACCTCCCAGAGCTGTTGTGAGGATCAAATGAGTTAACAAATGTTTAATGCCTTGCAAACCTTAAAATACTATATAAATAAGAGCTAGCATTTAGATAAGTTTACAAAGTGCTATCTGTTAATTCATTTGGTCCTCATAACAACCCTGGGAGTAGGTGCTGTTATCATCCCCATTTTACAGAGGAGGAAACTGAACCCAGAGAGGTTAAGTGACTTGCCTCAGGCCATACAACTACTCAGTATCTTAGGTCAGATTTAAACCCAGGTCCTCCTGACTCCGTGTCTCCCTCCACTGTCCCACAGAGTGCAATAGTCAATTAATAGTTTTCCTCTCTTCATTCACTAATTCATAGCAACCCTACAATAGTGTACTATTACTGCCTATTTTACAGATGAGAAAACTAAGCCTTGGAAAGACGAAAGGCCTTGCCCAAAGTCTCACAACTAAAAAAGTATGAAGGCTGGAATACAAGCCAGGACTCCAAACTTCACGTCTGGGGGGCACTGGGCGCTCTGTTGCCGAGAGACAGAGAGAGAGAGAGAGAGAGAGAGAGAGAAAGAGACAGAGACAGAGACAGAGAGAGACAGAGAGAGAGAGAGAGAGAGAGAGAGAGAGAGAACTTACCTTGTCCCAGGTCGGTTGGAAGTGCCAATATCTAGAGGAACTCCCACAAATGCAGCATCCAGCCCTTCAGGGGAGCTCTGCAAGGGCAATCTCATCATGGTGCAGACACCCACTGACCGGGCTACAAACTCAGAGCTGGGAGGCGAGTTATATGTGGCACCTGAGGCCCATCGGCTTGGGATATCTGACCGCTGGAGGTGGTTCTTGAAAAGCCTGGGAGCAGAGCCAGCTAGGCAGCCAGAGTGGGCCCACCAGATGGGAAAGGTCCTGGTCAAAGGCCCTTGACAGGCCCCTGACTTTCGTAACACACTGAGTCCCGAGGAGGCCCTCATATGGACGCCATCCTTCCACAAACTGGCTTGGAGAAGTCTTCGGCCATGGCAGGAAAAGAACTGCTCCATGCTGCCCTAGGGTTGGTGAAATCCCTCCTGGTCTTTGGCTTTCCTCTAGAGCAACCAAGTCGATTGATCAGTAACTTAGTTCTGGCTCAAAGGGCAAAGGCACAGAGAATATCTTCTGGGGCAACATTAGTTAAAAGGCAGTGGGGGAGGGGATTCCAAGGCCAGCAGAAAGGCTCATTCATTCCACCTCTCCCACCCCAGCTCCTTTAGAAGCAAAGCTAGGCCTGAGAATGAAGAACATTGTGGCAAGTTCCTCTGGCCCCTGTCCAGTATGGAGATAATGACAACAACTCAAATTTCTCCAGCACACATGTTCTTAACCTACAGATAGATTCACAGGGAGGTGTGTGAACCAGCATGGGAAGAAGTTCCACCTTGATTTAGTATTTTCTTTAGTTATGAGTTATTTTTTATTTTAGTTATTGTTTTTTAAATTATCCTGAGAAAGGCTGGCACAGTGGATAGAGCTCCAGGCCTGAAGTCAGGAAGACCTGAGTTCAAATCTAGCCCCAGACACTTACAAGCTGTGTGACCCTAGGCAAGTCATTTCACCCTATTTGCCTCAGTTTCTTCATCTGTAAAATGAGCTGGAGAAGGAAAGGACAAACTACCTAAGTATCTTTGTCAAGAAAACCCCAAATGAGGTCATGAAGGAACAGGCATGACTGAAATGACTGAGCAACAAGAAAGGGTCCCTAGGCTTCACCTGACTGCCAAAGGTGTCCAGAAGGAAAGGGAGGGAAAGAGGGAACAAGGATTTATATAGCACACATTATATGCTAGGCACTGTGCTAAGTACTTTACAAATATTATCTCATGTAATCCTTACAACCACCCTGATAGGCAGGTGCTGTTATTATCCCCATTTTACAGATGAGGAAACTGAAGCAGGGAGAGGTGAAGTGACTTGCCCAGGATCACATAGCTAGTAAATGTCTGAGGCCAGATTTGAACTCAGGCCTTCTGGACTCTAGGGCCCAGCAGCTATATCCACCTGGATGCCTCATCCAAAAAAGAAAAAAGAAAGAAAGAAGGAAAAGAAAAGAAAAAAAAAAAGGAAAAGAAAAGAAAAAAGTTAAGAACATGGCACACCCAAAAAGATTAAACTACCCCTACTCTAATCACTTTAAGGTCTGCAAAAATGTTTTTCTCATTAACTGTCCAATAAGACAGATGGTTCAAGTGTTAATATCTCTATTTTACAGAAAAGTAAACTGAGGCTCTGAGAAGTTGTGATACGATAATGTTCACACAACTCATAAATATTTGAGACAGGAGTCAAAGACCTGACACCAGAGCTAGCACTCTATCCACTGCACCAACAATGAGAAAACATACCAAAATACGTGGGATGAAGCCAAAGCAGTATTTAGGGAGAAATTTATATCTCTAAATGCTTACATCATCAAAAAAGAGAGTAGATCAATACACTGGGAATGCAACTAAAAAAAAACTAGAAAGAGAACAAATTAAAAATTCCCAATTAGACACCAAAACAGAAATCCTGAAAATCAAAGGAGAGAGTAACAAAATTGAAAATAAAAGGGAAAGGCCCACGGTGCTTAAGGTACAACAAAAAACAATCGTGATGAATCTTATTTTGTGTAATTTCCATTGACCAAAAAAATCCCCATTTTCCACTTTTAACCATTTGACAGTGCCAAAGACAGGTAGAACATTTCTTTTCTGGGTTTTCAGCACCTTTGAATCCTGATGAAATGGAGGCTGCACCTTCAGCTAAAAGTTTGATCTTTGCCAAGAAAACCCCAAACGGGGTCACGGAGAGCCGGACGTGAGCGAACAACAAGGCTCACAGAACTTGCTCGCTATGAGAACAGGTTTTACATCTACTCTTCTCTGAAGCTCTGCTTCTCCTTCCAGGCTGCTCTACATACCTGCTACTCACATAGCTATTCAATCTGAAGTTCTTTCTTGGGTTCCTGCTATACGCTCAACTGTGTGTTCTGCACTGTGGGACACTCTTTGTGTCTTCATTTTCCATGGAGAACATGTTGCAGTTGTCCAGATTGCTGTGCCATCTTGGGGAAGACCCTTTTCCTTCTACAATCTTGACCATTCTCCTGTCTGAGGTAGAAGGTTAAACTGAATTAGGTCCCTTCTAGCTCCACAATTCTTTCTAATCAGAGTTTATTATTGGTGAACTTTAGCACCCTGTTATATATGATAAAGTCTACTGTTATTTGGCTTTCTTTTAGAAAATCCTTCCATGCAGATAAAGGCCATAACCTCTTCAGATCAGCTGTTGTTAGTATCCCGCTTAAAGAATGCATTTCCTTCCTGGCTATCCTTGGGTTCAAGTTTTAGCTCAATACCTTTCTACTTGATTTAGGTAAATCATTGAATTTCTCTGGGCCTTTGAACTTTGCCAGCATGACTCGGCTGCCCTCTTACCCTGGACTTTCCCTCAGTCCTGTGGCCTTCTTGGCCTATAATATCCCTCTGCTATGCTGTACCCACCCTCTATCAGAAAGTCCTTTCAAGGCTTCTATTATGGTGAAGGGCCAAGTGTGGCCATGCTTCTTTCCCCTCCCAGCTGTGTTCCTAACTCTAAGAAATTTGCCCTCATAATCCTGCACCAGGTATCCCTTATTCCTCCCCACCCTCTCTAGCTCCCTTGTATATGTGGTCTTCCCCCACTAGAAAGTAAGTTCTTTGGGAGTCTTCCTCAAGTGGAAGGTGCCCCCTTAAGCTGGGGTCTCCCTTAAGGAGCCTATTTGGTGTGTTGTGCTTGGTGTGCTGTGTTGTGTCATCCCCAATAAATGCCTGTACTTGAAAAAAAAAGAACATAAGCTCCTTGAGGGCAGGTACTATCTTTCATTTTGCTTGAATTTATATCCCTAATGCTAAGTACAGGGCCTGGTTCCTAGTCAGCCCTTAATAAATGTATCATCTACCTACTTAAATAAATGATAAAAACTTTGAACTAATAAATAAAACTAGGAGCTGATTTTATGGGAAAAAACAAAATAGATAAATCATTGGTCAATTTGATTTTTAAAAAAGAAGAAAACCAAATTACCTGTATCAAAAATGAAAAGGGTGAATATATCACCAATGAAAATGAAATCAAAGCAACTATTAAGAACTATTTAGCCCAATTACATGCTAATAAAACTGACAATCTAAGTAAAATGGATAAATATTTATACAAATATAAATTGCCCAGATTAACAAAAGAAGAAATGGAATACTTAACTGAATCTTAATAAAAGAAAGCGAACAAGCCATAAATGAGCTCCCTAAGAAAAATTCCCTAGGACCAGATGAATTTACAAGTGAATTCTACCAAACATTTAAGGAACAATTAATTCCAATACTATGTAAACTATGTGAAAAAAAGGTAAAAAAGGAGTCCTACCAAATTCCTTTTATGACACAAACATAGTTTTGATACCTAAAGCAGGGAGAATAAAAGCACAGAAAGAAAACTATAGACCAATTTCCCTAATGTTGCTTCAAAAATTTTAAATAAAATACTAGCAAGGAGACTATACTATATCACAAAGATCATACACTATGACCAGGTGAGATTTATATCAGGAATGCAGGGCTGGTTCCATATTAGGAAAACTCTGAGTATAAATGACCACATCAATAACAAAACCAACAGAAATCATATTATTAGATCAATAAGGCAGAAAAAGCTTTTGACAAAATACAACACCCATTTCTATTAAAAAACATTAGAAAGTATAAGAATAAATGAGTCTTTCATAAAATGGTAGGTAGTATCTATGTAAAACCAAGAGCAAGCATTATCTGTAATGGGGATAAAGTAGAAGCCTTCCCAATAAGCTCAGGGGTGAAGCAAGGATGTCCATTATTACCACTATTATTCAATATTGTACTAGAAATGCTAGCTATAGCAATAAAACAAGAAAAAGAAATTGAAGGAATAAAAAGAGACAACGAGAAAACAAAACAATCACTCTTTGCAGATGATATGATGGTATACTTACAGAATCCTAGAGAATTAATTAAAAAAACTAGCTGAAACAATGAATAAGTTTAGCAAAATTACAGGATATAAAATAAACCCATATAAGTCACCAATATTTCTATATATTACCAATAAAACCCAGGAGAAAAAGATAGAAAGAGAAATTACATTTAAAATAATTGTAGAAAATATAAAATACTTGGGAGTCTACCTGCGAAACAAACCCAGGAACTATATGAATACAATTACTAAACACTTTTCACACAAATATAAATCTAAACAATTGGAGAAATATTAATTGCTCATGGATGGCCTGAGCCAAGATAATGAAAATGACATTTCTACCTAAGTTAATTTACTTATTCAGTACCATACTAAACTACCAAAGAATCATTTTATACAGAAAGGAAAAAATAAGAACAAAATTTATCTGGAGGAGCAAAAGATCAAGAATGTCAAGGGAATTAATGAAAAAAAAAAGAGTGTGAAAGAAGATGGGCCTAGCAGTTTCAGATCTCAAACTATAATACAAAACGGTAATTATCAGAACAATCTGGTACTGAATAAGAAAAAGAGTGTCTAACTGGCCAATGGAACAGATTAGATATGCAGTACACAGTAGTTAATGATCATAGTAACCTAGTGTTATAGAAACCCAAAGATCCGAGCTTTTGGAGCAAGAACTCACTATTTGACAAAATTGCTGGGAAAACAAGAAGGCAATCTGGCAGAAACTAGGCCTAGATCAACATTTCACACCATATTCCAAGACATAAAGGTTGATATAAGCAAATTAGGGGGAGCATGAAAAAATTTATCTGTCAGATTTATCAGATTTATCATGTCAGATCCATAGATAAGGAAAGAGTTTATGAGCAAACAAGAGATAGAGAGGATCACAGGAAGTAAAATAGATAATTTTGATTAAAAGTTTTTGCACAAACAAAGCCAATGCATCCAAAATTAGACAGAAAATAGGAAACTGGAAAAAAAAATTTACAAGTTTTTCCGATAAAGACCTCATTTTTCATAAGCCAAATTTATAAAAATAAGTCATTTCCTAATTTATAAA